AGCTTTTTGAACCAAATTATTAAGAGTTGGTAGATTGAAGGTTATAGGATTGCTAAGAATGATATTATTTGTGTTTTAGCAAGAGAGAGCATTTTCTTTGTCTGGATAGTGAAGATTCGAGACAGTTTAGTTTGAAGGTTTATCTTAAAATATTCATCTCTTTCTTCTTCAATTTCTTTTAAAAATTCGTCTAATACTTCTAAAATTTCTTTTTTGTCTAAAATTTCTTCTTTATCTGAAATTTCTTTTTTACACCTTTCTAAATCTATTTCCAAATTTGCTAATTTATTATCATCATCACCATCTTCTATAGTATTAGGAATTAATTTGGCGAGTTTACATTTAAGTATTAGTTTATTTGTCTCAGAGATATTCAAACTCTTATCAATTCTAAAACAGACATTTTTTCTTTTGTACAGATTGTCAATAATAACTTGACTTTTAGTTTTTTTATATAATTCACTAGTTTTGACTTTTTTGTATTCATCTTTTAACACATCTTCATTTGCAGCTTCCTGGATACCTTGCACTGCATCAGTTATTTTTGCATCATTTTCTTTACGTTTATCAAATATTCTTTTCATCTTATTTTCATTTTTATTCTAACTAAGATCAAGAAATTTTATTAAAAAGATTGGAAACAATGTATTGAGAACAGCATCATATAAATCTTGTTTATTCTGAGGTATATAACTTTCATCCATGATGGTTATTATTGAAGATTTACTCTACTTCAATAAAATTTAATATACATTTATGTTTAAGAATTCACAAGACTATTTGTTATTTTCACAGCCTTTATATAAACTACAAGAGAAGATAGCATTGCTTGTGTCAATCTTGGTCAAATTCTTTAATATTATCATTATATCAGATAATATCAAAAAGAATTGCATGTATGTTTATATCGGAATAATCCTATATGATATTGATTTATTTGATAAATGAGTGCTACCAAGTAAAACCAGTAATTCTTGATTTTTGGAAATTTCACTTTTAGAAACAGACAATATCAGATTCTTATAAATCGTTGCTAAAAATAAAATTTCGGAAAACTAACAATTACTAGTTTTCATTAATAATACTCAAATGTAGCTTACATTAGTTGTGATTTATTATTGTTAACATTGATGTAATTAATATTTTGCCAGAGATCACTATAAGCATTTGAGTTTGTGCGGCTTAGTGCTGGCTGGTGGCTTCTCATCTGTATAATGCAGGCTTTCTGTCAACATGATCATGTGATATTTATATTCCGCTTGTTAATTGAAATAATAAAAGGGTATAAACTGATTTTATTTGTAAAGCAAAGTGCTAAATTGGCAATGGCTTGTGTAGAATTACAACTGTGCTTTCTACTGTATCAGCCTTTTCTCACAGTATCCATTATTAAGTTAGAATTATATGTGCGGAAGGTTATTTAGAATCATACTTACTCCTGTAATCTTAATTATACGAGATTGTTCCTGCCCTGTTGCTATTTTCACGAGGCACATTACCTCTGCTTAGCACTTTTTCGATCTGTAGACTTTTGTTAATTGAATGAAATTACAGTGAATTAGTATAGTATAGATGACAGATCTGTATAGTACAGGCTTAATTTTTAAAGACCACACATTTTTTAACCTTAAAAAGTATAGTATAGTTTATAAATTTTCTTGTACTATACGATCTGTTTACTTAGTTATATATATTTGAAAAAAAAACTAATTATTAAGCATAGGTTCCCACATCCATGTGACACAAATGTTTGGTAAAAATTTACTTGTCAGAGATGGAAAGTTAGGTAATTGGATCTAATCATAAATGGCAACAGCTTATTAAAAAAATCATGATCATCGTGCTATATGATATAAAAGATCACATTATTCATCCAATATTAATGAGTTCATGCATTATATGCAAAGTTAGCCAATGAGATCTCATAAAAGTTACATTCCACAATGTGATAAAAAATGAATTAGATTTTGCGCAATCAAACATCAAAAATATTATTTATCATGATGACAATTATTGGTATGTGCAATTCGTATCTTGCTTTTATTTATTTTTCTGTATTGTTTATTTGTGTATACAGTTAAACCCCTCTAAATGCTATCCCTAAGTGCACGTTCTATAAAACACCTCCCTAAATACACATCTTCTCTTGGGCCAAACTAATATTACATCTAGAGATTTTTACCTTCCTAAATGCAATATCTTTCTAAATGCACATTTGACTAAATTTTTGTATATAGTCCTATCACATTGCATTTAGGGAGGTCTGACTATATATCATATAAGTTTGTCTGTTTTAAAGTTTATTTATACCAGTGTGTACTTTTCATTTTGATTAAAGTTTATGATTTTGATTTGGAATTACCAAAAAATTAGGTTTGTTATTATGTCAGTTTAAACTAATTATATTGTAAAAACAATGTTATTACAATAAATAACTCATGGGTAAACCTGTAAGTGAATATTTGATTCTTCAACATTTTATATTATTTAAACCAATCAAATTTTAAGATCAGTTTAATCTTGAAAATAGGTTAATTAAAGTCAATATGTTGAGGGGTCAAATATTTAAGTAAGAAAGTTTATCATAGTAGAATACAAATGAAAGTTAAATTAAATAAGAGTAAGAAAATATTATTTTAATATATGACATAAATTTTTAATCTAAAAATCTTGAGTTTTGGTATTATAAAGTAAAATACACTGGAGTAAAGATTCTATTTTGGATTTTATAATACAAAATAAATATCTTTTTATTAAGCTTAAGGAGTAGTTTGTATGTTTAAAAATATTAAAATAAACATAACATATACAGAAAACTAAGTTAGTACATCTGATTGTTAAAGAAAAAATCAAAAAAGCTGATCTGAGAATTTTAACTCTCCAGGTATGTCTAAAGTTTTGTATATACAATTCCTATATTATATTCACTAAAATCTCTATTTTTAGAATAATAAGATAAAATTCTTGTCATAGTATTTTAGAAATTAATCACTTAGTGATATATCAATTACATCTTCATCAACATCTCAAAAAAAATCTTCTGATCCATTACCCACAATCCAAAGTCATATCAAAAATGTGATTTTAAATATTAAATTTGAAGATGTCAACATTTAAGATCTTATCTGCTCAAATATAATAGACACTGCTTACTCATTTGACTGGCTCAAATCTGCCTTTTCAGAAGCAGATTGGAACTATCTATCCAATGCTGGTGGTTGTGCTTTCAATTCAAATAAGTTTGCACCCTCAATCAGCAAAACAAACATAGAAGAAATTAATAATCATTTGTAAGTTTGGTTACAATGTATTTTATTTAGAATTAATAGATTTGATCTAATATAATATATATAAACTCCCATCTAAGAACAACCAGTGAATATAACAAATAATAATAATGAAGGAACATGGCAATACCACTCAATACTTATATTATTTAATAATGTGACTAGAGGTATATCCAAATTAAATCTTACAATGTTTTTATTTTTTATTTTACAGATTTAATTTTTAATGTAATGTAAAGTTATTTAGACAAAATTTTTTTAAATGGTCCAGAAAAGGGCTCTGCAAGTTCTAAAAAAAGAAAAATGATAAGATTTATAGTAGCAATAAGGATGATGAGAAAGAAAATGCAAATAAAAAAAATATATTTACAAAATAATTAAACGATATTTAATTTTAAAGATTAACAAATTAATTTAAAATTTTGTTTTTATATATGGTTTTTTTTTAAATTTTTAAGAAAATTAGGTGTGGAAGGCAACCAGATTTACCTTAATTTTCAAAAAGTATTACAATACCCAAATAATCGGTTTGAATTTTTAAATGGAGAAATTGCAGAAACCCCCTTTTCTGAAACTGAAAAGAAGTGTGAAGCAGATTGGAAGAAGCTTTACAAAATAATTACACATGTTTGCTGTATGTCACACAATTGTTAAAGTATTTATGCATATTGTTATTATTAGCTCGAATTATATACAGTAATTAATGAATGTAATTATGAATGTTGTATAGTTGGATTACACTGCTTTTCAGATAACTGTGATGCAAATTCTATATATTATATGAGGATCAGGAATTTTGACAAATGCAAATCTATTGACTAAAAATTATTTGATTAAATTTTTTTTAACCAATCTTATATTATCATCTTTTTCTATATTGCTGATTACAATAATTTAAAAGCACTGTAATATGGTCATCTTCCTGAGTTGTAATAAATTTTGAGGTGTAATTATTAGTATAATGGAATTCATTATCTCTATATCATCGCCATTAAGAATATTAATGTTGTTTAGTTATATTATATAAAGCCTTTTTGTTTGACATTAATTTAAACTAGTACATAATCATGTGGCATTTTCACTGCCAACTAATAATTAGATATAACAGTATATGATTTTAACAGACACTGACAATTTGATAATACATAATTAATTGAAATCAAAAATATATATTAAGATGATATTCTATTTGTTTTTTTTTATAATTCTTGGCTTTGCTTAAGTTTTTAAGCTTTTATGTTTTGCTTCACTTCGCATATCTAGGTTTTAAACTTTTTTTACTATATTTCAACAATCATTAATTGTTAACTTAAAGTTTTAATCAAGATTTACAATAATGTAGATTTTTAAATATATATACTAGAACTTTATATATGGGAGGCTTTTCCAGTCAGTTATAGTTAATTAAAACAATTATTATTTAAAATTTTCTCTCTTTAATAAAATAGAACACAAATATATATAGCTAGTTTTGAAAATAAATAATGCAATAACTTTTGTCCTCAATTCAAGCTCAGTTTTACTTGTTCAGTATTGTTTTAAATTTAAATATATCAATCACACCACAATGTAGATTCAGATTTTAATCAAGTCTAGTGAACAACTTGTTGTAACCTGTTATAATGAGAAATATTCAATAGTTGGCATGTGAAATAGCATTAACAAATGCTATTTTGGGCTTAACTTGAGGCAAAACATAAATATTAAATAATTTAAATGAAGCTCATAATTATGTAAATAAGTGTCATTAGTTATAAACGCTAACAGTAAGATCCTGGTTCTTTATTGTTTTTTCAAGTAGACTTTACTATATCTTATATTTTTACTGTATTTTGGCTATAGAGTAGTGATAATTTGTAAGTGTCTGTCAAATTGTATCAAAGGCATTACTAATCTATTATATTATAAAAAGCTAAAAAAAAATATATAAGATAAAGATGCATTTTAATTAGATGCTTAACACTATATTAATTTTGACTAATTAAATATTAAAAAAGGTTAAATCTAGATCTCACATTCAGTTAGTACTCTATTCAGCACTTATCTGATCAGATTTGATCAAAACTTTTTTATTTTAATTTTATGAGTATATATAATTAAAATAAAAAAATTAATTGAATTTGACTAGATAAGTGCTGAGTAATCTTTATTTAAAGTTTAAATATTTATAAAAAATATTGTGATCAAATATTTTTAAATTTTATAAATATTTCTCAACAACCAACTATTCAAATTTGATAAAAATTTTTTTATTTTTATCTACAAGATTATAGAATTAAAATAAAAAAAATTTCACC